GCTGTGAAATAAGCCAGTTACAAAAAGACAATACTATATGATTCCACTTAAATGAGGTATCTAGAGTAGTCAAATTCTTAGAGACAGAAAGTAGAATGGTGATTTCCAGGGACCAGGAAGAGGGGAAGATGGGGAGTTAATGTTTAGTGGGTACAAAGTTTTAGTTTTGCAAAATGAAATGAGTTCTGAAGATGAATGTTGGTGATTGCACAACCATATGTATGTATTTAATACCACTGAACCATATACTTCTAAATCATTAAGATAACTAAATTTTGTTATATATATTTTACCACAATAAAACACTTTCAAAAACGAACAGAGTTATATTAAAATTTTATAATATATATATTCTTTAAAAATTATCCCCTCTGGGTGTCATATATGCTGGGCACCCCATTGACAAGGCAAATGGGAAGTTCAGATACTACTGAATAGTATCAATCATGGAGGGCTTCCTGGAGGAGGTATAGTGGTTAGACTGATGTTAGGCCAAAGGGGCAGGATTCCAATGGTGAATGATTCCACCTCACTGTTCATCTGGATCCTGCTTCTCAGCTCACTTTTTCAGTTTCCAGGGAGATAGTTTCCAAGGAACTTGGAATACACATATTGCTGTCACTTGGCAACCAAGAACTGGTGGGTGCAACAACCTGCCATGTTCTTCATTCATCCTGGGCCCTGATCTCTGGCATGGACTCTGAACAGCCCAGGCAGGGGGGGCCCAGCCAGGGAGGCACCTTCTACCAGCCTTCCTTCTCAGCCACTCACAAACCTCAGAGAGACAACTGAGACTCTTGCTGATGGCGGTAAGTCCACAGAATGCTAGATGGACTGGGGGCAGGGCACAGACATCCTTCAGCCCCAGAGGATTCTCCCATTTGCTCCCATTCATGGAGGAGCCTGGAGGACATCAGGATCCAGTGTGAATGGAAGACAGTCCTGGTCTCAAGGGATTCCCAGCCCAGTGCAAGAGACAGAGCTGACTTCATTCTTTCAATACTCAGATGTTAGTGCCTACTCCACACTGGCTGCTGGGCCACAGACCTTGAACTGTGGCAGACCGGAGTGAGTGAACAAAACACCCTTGGTGCCTCGCCTTCGACTGAAACAACTCTGAGACATGTCCTACACTGCTTCCCAGAGTTGCCTGGCAGGACTGAGCTTCAGGTGCCCACAGGTAGCATCCTGGCATGAGCACATAACATGTATTGGCTCCCTTCCATTCCCTGTCTCACCTCTCTACTTCCTTACAGCTACTTCCTGGAATCAGCTCCCCAATAAACCACTCAAATCCTCATCTCAAGCTGACTTCTGCGGGAACCCAAGCTAACAGGGATGAGGTATCACAAGGAAGCAAAGTTCTGTGAGCTGTAACCAATTGTATGCAAAGCAATGGCCAAACCAAGGCAAGCCATCTGCCCAGGTTCAGGCAATTGTGGAGGTGGTGGGGACTTTGCCTTAAAACACTTAAAAGCAGTAACATAATGGACCAACAACCAGTCTACTTTTCTTATCACCATGAACCAGTCATTCTAACCAACTTCAGTGATAAAATTCTCCTCCCCACTGAACATGACAGATCTCACTGTCCATGCCCACCCTTTGGCACCCCACTGAGGCTACCTGCACTAACAGAGGGTAATTGACTGTGAGCAGAGATGGGGGAAGGTCTTACTCATGCAACACTGACCCGCCAATCACACAGTACCAGCTGCCTGGTACAGTCCTCCAAGTGCCCCTCTGCCATGGCAGTTTTCACACTGGGTTATCTCTGTCATTTTTTTAACCACTAGACAGTGAGCTCCATAAAGGAAGGAACTATGGCTTGGTCATCTGGGCCTGACTCATAGCAGACACTTACGAACGGGGCTGCTACTTTTGTGCAGTGCACAGCTTGCATCACTATTCATGGCTATCCAGCTTATTGAGTTTTCGTGAATTAGTGAATGAATGAATAGGTGAGAATTTTCAATAATGGGGAAGGACACTGCAGAAGGGACACAATAGGCAAAAGTAGGAAGCTTGCAAGTACAAAATTTCTCAGTGCAAAGGGCAAGTAGCTTTATGTCACTGGCAGCACCACCAATACATGTCAGGAGTTCCGTGGTCACCAGCGTTAGTACCACCCAACGTGTGGTTGACCTACCTGCACTCTGCCTCAGATAATGTTCAACCAGAATCTCCGCAAATGGGATTCAAGAACCTGGGCATCCCAGGGGAACCCCAAGAACACAAAAGCTGGAGAAGTACTGGGCCAGCTTACAAAGTGAGTAGTGGATTTCAAAAGGGTGAAATTGGCCCCACTGGGCCGAGCCCAGGCCAATATTTCATTCATTCACCAGTCATTCATTCATTCATCCAATAAGTATATATTGAACCAGTGAAGCATTAAAGTAACCTGTGCACTAGACAGACATGGTCCCTTCTCCCTTGTCACAGTTTAGGGGTAAGCCAGTCATCAAATTATTAAGCAAATAAATATTTAGCATAGTGTCAGGTTATGATTAACGCTTTGCAAGAAAGAAAGCAAGGTAAGGGATTAAGACAAGGCTATGACAAAGCTAGACAGCATATTAAAAAGCAGACATTACTTTGCTGACAAAGGTCTGTATAGCCAAAGCTATGGTTTTTCCAGTAGTCATGAATGGATGTGAGAGGTGGACCATAAAGATAGCTGAGTGCCGAACAATCGATGCTTTCCAATACTTAGATACTGAAGAAGACTTAAGTGTCCCTTGGACTGCAAGGGGATCAAACCAGTCAATTCTAAAGGAAATCAACCCTGAATATTCATTGGAAGAACTGATGCTGAAGCTGAAGCTCCAATATTTTGGTCACGTGATGTGAAGAACTGACTCATTGGAAAAGACCCTGATGCTGGAAAAGATAGAAGGCAGGAGGAGAAGGGGACAACAGAGGACGAGATGGTTGGATGGCATTACCAACTCAATGGAAAAGAGTTTCAGCAAGCTCCAAGAGATGGTGATGGACAGGGAAGCCTGTCTTGCTGCAGTCCATGGGGTTGTAAGAGTCAGACATGTCTTGGTGGCTGAACAATAAAGGGGTTAAGATAGGATGGTATTTAGCTGGGAATCAGGGAAGCCCTCTGCTGAGGCTGAGAGGAGGTGAGGGAAGGAGTCGCCTAAAATGAAGGAGTAAACCATGCAGCTCTTTGGGGAAAGAGCAATCCAGAGGAAGGCAGTGGAGGTGGGAGGAAGTGATTAGATTCAGAATACATTCTGAGGGTAAAGTTGGATCAGATGTGGGTGTGAAAGGCGAGGGAAGTCAAGGTTACTACAGTCAAGAGTGCAGAGGATGAGAGGGGAGTTGAAGGAGTTAATGTCTGAGAGAGAGGTGAGGGTGGGGAACACAGATCAGATGATGGTTCCTGCAGACCAAGGGGAAGGACTTATTTTTCTTTTGAGTGTGATGGGAATCACAGGAGGTTTCAAGCAGAGGAGAGATGTGATCTGGTGTGTGTTATAACAGGATCTGTAGTTGCAGAGTACAGAACAGACTTTCAGGAGTCACAGATGGAGAAAGGCAATTTGGTGATTGGTGCAGACATTCAAGTGGGAGATGATGGTGGCTTGCAGGAGGGTGCTGACTGGGATCAGAAAACTAAATTTATTTGAGTAAAAACAGTAAGTGGTAAAAATCAGGAAGAAGACAGTCAAATAAATGACTGACATTTGGAAGTAGATCTGCTCTGAAGTCAGTAGTTGTGTCTTCTTGGGGGAAGCAGCTTCCATTCTCCAAGTGAAAAATCAAAGTGTTAGTCTCTCAGTTGTGTCCAACTCTGAGACCCCCATGGACTGTATCTTGCCAGGCTCCTTTGTCCATGGGATTTTTCAGGCAGGAACACTGGAGTGGGTTGCCATTCCCTTCTCCAGCCAAACTTCCCGACCCAGGGATGGAACCCAGGCCTCCCATTTTGCAGGCAGCTTCTTTTCCATCTGAGCTAAATCTGCAAAATGGGAATGACAATGGAACATATTTCATAAAGCACTCGAAAGAGTGATATTAAGTTTTTCACCCAGGATCCAGAACATAATAAACATTTAATAAGTGTTATCCAACAAACCAGACTGCTAAATTGCAGTACCATCTCTACTGTTCACTCATCTTGGTCAAATACAGCCCTCTGTGTGTGTTTGTTGCTGTTGTGTAGTCACTAAATCATGTCCTACTCTTTTGCGAACACATGGACTGTAGCCCATCAGACACCTGTGCCCATGGGATTTCCCAGGCAAGAATCCTGGAGTGGGTTACCATTTCCTTCTCCAGGGAATATTCCGGACCCAGGGATAGAACCCGCCTCTCCTGCTTGGTAGACAGATTCTTTATCACTGAGCCACCTGGGAAGCCCAGTGTGTCTGTTTTCCCATCTGCAAAATGGAGCTATCAAATACCAACTTTGTAGGGTTGAGTCTTGAGGATTAAATAAATTAATACAAGTAAAACATTTACAACGTTCCATGGAGCAAGCACTGCATTAAGTGCCAACTATTACTACGAATATGTTTTAACCTTATTTCGTAATCTCTTCTCCTACCAGCATACGCCCACCCTATTTTGCAGAAATCTGTGACTGAAAACAAAGGTAGCCTCTCTTCAACGATGCCACAACCTACGTGTAGCACACCTACCACCTACAGAGAAGATGGAGATTCCAGATTTGAAGGACCTCGCTCCCAGGGGTCCTGCCCTGCCCACCCTAGAACAGGGGTCCTGTTCTGCCTGGCGGAACCTTTAAGAGTCTTCCTTCTGTTTCCAGCCGGGAGCTCTCGCGCGGCAGCGCGCGAGTTAGAAGTTACTTCCGGTGGCCACACACCCCCCCCACCCCCACCCCTGGGCGTCTCCATTTTGGTCGCGCAGGTTGACACTAGAGCACAACCTGCGGCGTAGCGGAGGGAAGTCAGCAGTATTGTGAGGGCCCAGTCGGCTCACCGCACTTTCTCCCTCCTTTCCTCCGCCCGCAGAAGCCAGGGTCGCCCATGGCTGGCTTGGAGGTACTGTTCGCGTCGGCAGCGCCGACCATCACCTGCGCGCAGGACGCGCTCGTCTGCTTTCTGCACTGGGAGGTGGTCACGCACGGCTACTACGGCTTGGGTGCCGGCGACCAGGTACGCCACGGAGCCAGGGTAGCGTGGGACCAGGGTGGAGGCGGGAGGCGTCTTCTGCCCGAATCCAGAGACCAGGGGCCTGGTCCAGACTGCCCGACCTTCCCCTTTCCCAGATCTGGGCCCTGAGGCTCATGACACCTTTGGTACCTGTAGTCTGCGGCTCAGGGAGGTTCTCTACTGTTCCATTCTAGCCGGCACAACATGCTTTGAAAACCCAGTGTCAGAAACTCGCTCCAGCACCGGCTGGCGTTCTCCCAGGCAGGCATTGTGCCCTCTGGCACCGAGACGGGGGTAATAAGCTCCCTTGAGCACTCCTCACTTACCCGAACTCCACCGAACTCCTTCACCAGCAGCTGGGTAGGGTGAGGGCTGTATTCAGTACTGCCCTCCTCCCGTACCGGAGCGTTCACCTGGATCCAAGCACGGGTACAGAGGGACACCAGCATGGGGAGCGCTTGGACTCAGTTCCCGTCAAGAGCTGAGAGGGCTCGACACCCTTCACTCTATACTGCAGGGCCCCGTGCTGCCCACTCACCGTTGTCATCTTGAACTCAGGCTTCGGGCCAACAACCACCTCCCCAACATGTACACACATGCATCCTGGGTGTGAAGGCCAAGTAAACCCTTCAGCAAAGCTGTCCCTACGGTAGCAGCCCCTCCTGCTCTCCCATCCTCAGACTGCCTCTTAGAGCTGGGGGCCTTGTTGCCAGAACCAACAGAGCCTCAGGACTGCCGGGCCCAGCCTGCCTCGCTTGATTCTTTGCTGTAGCATTCTCCCACCTTCCCAGCCCCTTCCCTGTGACTGTCTCCTCTACGGTCATTGTACACATCAGCTTCCTGTGAGCACTGACCTGGACCCCTTCCTGCACAAATCCTATCAGCAACTCTGTCGGAGACACTTTGACAGCCTAGAGACATCAGTTTGCGTAGATCATTGCCTCCTCCTAACTGCCACCATTCCCGTGTAAGGTACTCCAGGCTTTAAGAAAGAACACGATTTTGTCTAAAAAAAGATTGCTGACTGAATCTCAGAGGTACACTCTGTTTACCGTGCCACATGTTGAGTTCATGCAAAACAGAAAAAGCTGCTGGCTCCAGACCTCTTGGGGGAGACCCCAAGAGAGTGCAGATGGGGGTTTGGAAAGCACTGTCCATCTGTCCACCCCAGTGCTAGGTCAAGCATGTGCCCCTGGGGGATGGATGTTTGTGTTGCGCACTAGAGCGTGATGTATTTTTGCTTCTCTCTGCCTTTAAATGCTTCTGGGGCTCAGGTTGTGCTTGTCCTCCTCTCACTTTCTGCGTTTACTTTCTTTCAGAGTAGAAGCCTTTTGGGAGGAGTATCTTTCCTATTAGTTTATTCAATAGAGGTTTTAGTTTTCCAGCATGTGGCCAACAGACTCAGCTGAGACCAACAGTGTCTGCAAAGTTCAGAGAATGTTTGTCTGAAGCAGCCGCCTCCTGCTTCCCACCCTTCTAGGGTTGATAAGAGCGAAAGGAAGGTCCTGAAATTGTGTACTTGATTATTTAATATGTTGACAGTTAAATAGAAAGCTAAATTGTCTCCTTTTCTCTTTGGTTCTGTATCATCTGGTTCAGGAAAATTATGTACATAAAACTTGGTTAGAAGAACAACGGATTTTCAATCAAAAATTCAGTATTGAATTTGGATTTCTCTCTTGAAGTCAGCACCACACCTTGTAAGAACTTGACAGCTATGTCACGTGGTTTAGGTGGCAAGGGAATAGAGATGGCCATAGGCTTGAATTCGAGGATGTTGTTTTCTGTTGTAGGAATCTAAGGATTATGACAAAAGAGAAAAATGCCTGAAATGATCTTTTGGGGACGTATTTTAGCCCAGGGATACTGGGATTCACTCACGGCCATTAAAGAATACTTCCAACCCCAGGATTTTGCCTAAGTGGACAGCTATCTTTACTTTGTGGGGTGGGGGTCTTTAGCCATAACACCGGCAACCAGGAGCTCTGAATGCCAAACCCAGTTCTGCACCTGACTTACCATGACCTTGGGCAATTCTCAGCTCCCTCTTGTTGTTGTTTAGTTGTTAAGTCATGTCCGACTCTGCTACCCCATGGACTGTAGCCTGCTGGGCCCCTCTGTCCATGGGATACCCCAGGCAAGAATACTGGAGTGGGTTGCCACAGCCCCCTCTTAGCTCTTAGATTTTTTTCATCCAAGCAAGTTAAACTACACAACTATGTACTTTGGCTGCTTTCCAGTTGTAGCTCTTTGGGAGGTCTGATATTGATGTCCTGGTCTAGAAGGCAGTTGAATGCCATGTTTAGCTTGTTATCACCAAGGCCAGTCTCTCAGTCCCACCTGTTTTCCTGTATCAGGGCAGGCACTGAGCTGGGGAACACTGGTTCTGCTGCAGTGAGAGGTATCAGCCCCGCCAGACCCCAGTAGTGTCTCTTGCTCAAAGCCAGATATTACGGGACAGTGAGCAGGCCCAGTTACTTATATTCCAAGAAGAAATTCTGGTGGGTTGAATGCTGTACATGGAGAGTATAAATATAAATTCAGAGGCCCTTGATACAACAAAGACAAGTCATATTATCAAATTCTTGGCTTCCAAAGTAAACCATAAATCCAGGACACTATACATGTTACAGGAAATTTACCCAGCTAGGGATGAGGGGATAGAGTTTCTCTTTCTTAAGCAGAGGTGGCTGATAAGTTTCACTTTTGTTTTCTATCACTTTCATTTCCCTGCTTCAGGCCTGTGAGTTTCCTTGTCATTCAGCCAGGTTTGAAACCAGGCCAGTTGCAACATCTTGAATTTTATTTGGCACCACTTTCCTTGTTTGATTCCTGAGGCCCAGAGGTGACCAAAGAGGAGAGGCCCACAGTCTCTATTCTTGGCTTCCCGTTGTCCTTGGTATCTGTGAGGTTTGTGTTCCTAGACCTTTTGTTGTTGTTTTTCAAAGTCTTTGGTCCCACTCCTTCCCACTATAGTCTCATGAAATACAGATCTTCCCAGTCCACTTGCTCTGTGTTTAGCTGTAGACATATGCATCCATGAAAATAATATAGAAGTTTTTTTTATGTTTTGTTTTAATTATTCTTTTTACATAAATGGTACCCAGCTGTAAATCTCATTTTTTTAAAATGTTTCTGTGTCATGTTGTTTATTTTTACCTGTAATACTGCAATTAGATCTAGTTGCTTCTTCTCCCTGCTGTACTGTAGGCATATTGTGCAGTTCGCCCCCGCTTTGGTGCCCCCAACAAGCCCTTGTCATATTCCCTGTGCCTCTGTGTACAGAATTTCTTTTAGGAGTGGAGGTTTTGGGTCATGGGGTATTGGCTTATCTGATGGCACTAAATATTACCAAATTGCTCTCCAAAGGGGGCTGTATGAGTGTGAACAGCCTCCAGCAGTACTTGGAGGTTGCCATTCTCCTTTCACCCACACAAACACCTGGCAAAAAATAGAGAAACGGAGAATAGCAGTCGGATGGGTGGATCCTGGTATCTCTGAATGCTAGTAAAGTTGAACAACCCTTTATGCAGAGTTAGCTGCTCTTATCTTCTGCCAGTCTTCCAAGTGGATTACCAGTTTTTATTGTTCATTTTTCAGGCATTCCCTTTTTGTACTAGTTATTCTTTTTCATTTGCAGCCATGACACATAGCTCATCCTAGCCTGTGGCTGCCTGTTCACTTTGTTTTAGTAGTAGCGGTTGTTGATCAGAAGCTTTAAATCATAAGCAGTGTCAAAGAAAGGAGGGCATCACAACTCCCAGTGATGCATTTTTACATCCATTTGGTGGGCAAAAATATTTTAAGTTGGACAGTAGCGATGTTGCTGACCACTTGAAATAAGAACTTTGATACATTGCTCGTGAGAGTGTAAATCCATACTTTGGGAAACAATTTGACTTTATCTTATAAATTAAAGGTTCTTCCCCTAGACATATTTTATAGAAGTTCATTTCTGTGTTACTAGGAGATGTATGAGCTACCCTTTGTACAAGAATGTTCATAGCAGCGTTATTTATAATAGCGTAACAGATAAGTTGGAAACACCCCACATATCCATCAAGTGAGTGTAACTTGCAGCATATTCATACAATGATGCATTATATGGCTGTGAACTATGAAGCAATGGAGTGCACTGTACATCAACTATAGTTATGGATAACTCAAAACAATATTGAATGAAAATGACAAAAGTGATGCCATTTATATAAAACTCAAAAACATTTGAAACAACTTTTTAGGATTTGTGTATAGTAACACAACTATAAGGAAAAATAAGGAAATGTTTAAAAATACAGACTGGTGAGTACCCACAAGGGAAGAGGAGGGGGATTCATTAGGGGTACACCACTCAGCCATGTTCTTTGTTGTAAGCTGGCTGTAAACACCTAGTTGTCCATTTTATTCTTTTTTTATCTTGTACATATGCTGTATTTTGTGTTTGTATGAAAGTTGTTCATAACTTTTGTTAAACAACTACAGTAGTCTAGAGAGGTGTCATTAGGATCTGTATTTTTAGTCACTACTTTCATGATGCCTTTGCAGTTGGCCGAAATTCCAAACTTTGAGAAACACTGTCTTTAGAATTTCACAGTATTCCTTGAGATGACTGGCCTTATTCTTGGCAGGGAGATGGAGAGGAGCTTATTCAACCAAGACTGTAGCTTCTTGACAGGTTCCAGTGCTGTGTCACAAAGGCAGTCAGGAGCGAGGGAGGAACACTGGAGCTGGAGTCCAGAGAGCACAGATCTGTTACTTGCTGTTGGACCTTCGACGTTTTACTTCTCCCGACCTCCGTGTCCTCGTCTGTAAAGTGAGGGAACAGGATTAGATTATCTGTAATTCCCTTTTTTCAGATCTGAAGTCGTGATCTTTCTCCTCTCTGGTGCCCTCTCAGCCAGGTCCCAATGATAAGAAATCAGAGCTGCTGCCAGTGGAATGGAATAGTAATAAAGACCTGTATGTCCTCCGATACGAGTCCAAGGATGGGTCCAGAAAGCTCCTTGTGAAGGCTGTCACCGTGGAGAACAGCATGATCATCAATGTGCTGGTGAGTCTGTAGTCATAAAGAGTCTGATGTTGGGAATGGACCTTGGGATCGCCTTTTTGAAGCCCATTTAAGAGCCCTCGGTGTACGTGAAGCCTTTACCTAGTGATCCTACTTCTGGAACTTTATTCTGAGGCCAGGACCCTAAATGTAGAAATGCTTTGTGTTCAAAGCTGTCTACTCCTTATTATTGTAAAAGGAAGTGCTTGCCATCACAAAGGAATAGTGGAGGTAGATTCATTCAGGGACAGTCTGGGAGAAAACAAGAAAAGCTTACTGTGGCCCTAGGGGACTGCTTCTAGTTCTTTAGACATGCATGGCTCACAGCTTTCTGTTGCCTTGAAGCCTTGATGCTTCTCGGTTTTTCCCTCCTGGAAAGCTCTCTCTCTCCACCTTTGCTGCCTCACACAGGTACAGTCCTTTAGCCTGACTGACTCCCTCTTGTTTTCTTTTCAGTTACTCAGAAAGTTCAGTCAGTCCTGACTGCTTCCCGTAGTCTGTCAGAAAGATCTAAACTATGCCTCTGCTTCATCATTTTATTTTCCTGCCTGGTACTTGACACGGTTTGCAACTAGTTAATTACGTTTATGCTTTGGTATAATATTTTGTATTCTGCCGCTCTAGCGGAATGTTCTGTAGTCTGTGTAACATAGACTCCAAGCGCCCTGAGGGCAGTGACTCTCTTAAGTTTGGCCTGGTTGTCTGGATTTGTATAAAGATACCATGCAGTCTGTAGTGTTCTGCACTTTGCATTTTTACCTTGATGTGTTTTGGAGGTCTTGGCAATGCAAATGACTATGCCTTACTCATTTTAACCACTTTGTAGTATTCCATAATACAATAATTTATTTACCCTTCTTCCTTTTGATGATCACATATCACTCAAGGTTCTTAGTTTGAAACAACAAAATCCCCTTAGGTTCATTTAAATAGTCAGGTTTATTAAGAGAACTGGGATAACTGAGTTGTCAGAAGGGCTGGAAAAGCAGTTTGAAGGCTGAGCTTCCAGGGCATTGCTCCAAACCATGCTATGGAAACCAGAGCTGCTGCCGTCAGCCCAGAGCATTAGATACTGGCTGGCTGCCTACCCAGGGGCCCCCTTCTCATGATTCGCTGATGTTGTAGCCCCTGTGCCTCTGCTGCTGCCTGTAATGGCAAGATGTCTGCTCCTTACCTCCTTCCTCAGCCTGTTTATCCATGTTGCTCACCGTCAAGTTGAAGTTGTACATCTATTTGGCACCCCATTCACATGTTTGCTTTCACGCTGCAAAAGAGCTTGGGAAGTAGGCTTTTCTGGGCTCTGCCTCAGAAAGGCATTATTCCTAAATCTAGAGTTGTCCCCAAATGCTCAATGTGTATTTCATCTGTTACAAACAGTCCTTGTATATGTCTCTTGGTGCCCATGTGTATTTCTTTAGGTTGGATATAAAATTGTTCTTCTCCCCCCAGTCGCCCACTTACTCACTCATTAGACCAGAAATACCCCAGTCTCTCATTTTCTGTTTTCATTTTTCTAGGAACATGGCTCACAGCAAGTGTCAGATTTGACCCTGAACTTGAATGATTATATCGATTCAGAACATCTGGTTGACTTCCACAGGTATTTCTAAGCAATGGCTTTTGCCTAGGAAAAAAGAAGAGAGAACCAATGGCCAGACAGACATAAGGAATGGACTTGAGGTGTTAGAGAATGGAAGAAGGTTAACAGAAGGATCTTTCTCTCCTGGGCACTCAGTTCTTTCTGTTTTTAATTTATTTGAAGAGAAGATTCATGTGGGAAATGCCCTGTGAAATAAAATGATGCAACCAAGAGACCATAAGTCTGCAGGTTAGAGATGGGGCCAGGCCAGTGAGCTCTTAGGATAAAGTGTAGCTACTCTGGTACATTCTATTCCCCTGTTTTTTCTTGATGGACTTTATTTTTTACAGCAGTTTTAGGTTCACAACAAAATTGAGCAGTAAGTGTAGCGAATTCCCTGGGACCTCCCTCTTACCCCGCACTCTCACGGTCCTGCACGGTCCTGCAACAAAGTGGAAAGTGGTGCGTTTGTTATAGTTGGTGAACCTATGCTGACACACATTATCATCCAGATTCCATTCTTGGTGGTGTTGGGGTATGTTTACTTTTGTAAGAAACTGCTGCACTGTCTTCCTCAGTAGCTATACTGTTCTACTTTCCCACCAGCAGTAAACGAGCGTTCCTATTGATCTGCTTCCTTGTCAGTGTTTCAGATTTTGGCCATTCTAACAGCTGTGTAGTGGTATCTCATTTTTGTTTTAATTTGCAGTTCCCTGATGACATATGATGATGAATATCTTTTCATATGCTTTTCTGTTGTCTGTGCATTTACTTTGGAGGTATCTATTCAGGTCTTTGATTGATTTTTTAATCAAGTTGCTTTCTTAAGGTTGAATTTTAGGAGTTCTTTGTATATTTTGGATAACAGTCATTAATCACGTTAAACATTAATGTGATTAATGTAATTAAACATTAGTCATTAAACACATTAATATATGTGTTTTGCAAATATTTTCTTGGAGTCTTAACTTGTCTTCTCATTATCTTGACTTTTTATTTTGAGATTTGCAACCCCTCAGAAAAGAGAGTTTACAAAAATAATACAGTGAACACCCATATACCCACCACCTAGGTTCACCAGTTTTTAATGTTTTGCTGCATTTACTTAAATTTTCTGTATGCTTTTTTGTTCTTGAGCCATCTGAGAATTATTTCCAGACTTTATGAACCTTAAACCCTAAATATTTCAGCATGTATATCCTCGTTCTTAAGTAGACAACCTCCTGTATAACCTTAAGGCAGTTATCACACTCAGGAAACTTAGTTTTGATACATTAATGTCATTTAGTACACAGTCAGTGTTCAGGTTTCTGCAGTCATCCAAGTAGTGTCCTTTCTGGGTAGTCTTGTAGTTTTTAATTTGAGGTTTTTGTATTTTTTAACCCAGCCAAATATCACACATTGCATTTATTTTCATGTCTTTTCAATTACCTTTAATCTGGAAGTTTCCTAGACTTCTATTTTTCTTAGCATTGCTATTTTTAAAGACTTGAGGTCGGTTGTATAGAACATTCAGATTGTTTCCTTATCATTTGATTCAGGTTGGACATTTTCAACAAGAACTCTATGTAAGTGAGGCTATGTTCTTCTAAGTGTTTCATGTCAGGCACATGACATCTGTCTTGTTGATTTTGTTCAATTTGATCGCTTGATTATGACAGTATTTGCCACCTTTCTCTCCAGTAAAGACATCTATTTTCCTTCAGGTTTTGATTTACATTTATGAGGTTTGCTTTTTTTCCCTTTATTGAAGTATAGTTGATTTACAGTATTGTGTTGATTACTGCTGTATAACAGAGTGACTCAGTTATACAATGTAGACATTCTATAGCATATTCGTATTCTTTTCCATTATGGTTTATCATAAGATATTGAATGTAGTTCCCTGTGCTACACAGTAGGACCTTCTTGTTTATTCATTCTGTATATACCAGTTTGCATCTGCTAATCCCAAACTCCCAGTTCGGTCCTCTTCCACTTCCTCCCATTGGCAACCACCAGTCTATTTTCTGTGTCCCTGGTTTATAAGATTTGTTTTTTGACTCAGGATATGACTCATTTTAAAATGACAGATTTTTAGGAACTCCATAGAGTTCCTGCTCACTCCTTGCTACCTCAGTCTGCCTTAACACTTCAGCGATAGCTCACATTGTTTTTCTGTCACAGACAGAGAAAAAGAGGCGTAAAGCAGCCTTCCAAGGGCCTCTGAGTTAGTGACAGAATTGGACATTAAGCCCCAGAGCCCTGCCTACTTGGGCCAGGAAACTGGTTATCCTTCCCATGGAGCCTTGGCCTTCCATGACTCTTCCCATGACATGTGATGAACACACAATGAGGCTGAGCACAGGGTGGGGTGGGCTGGGCCCAGAGGAGTCAAGGCCCTGTGCCCCTACACCCTCATCTCTTTCTAATGGGGTGGTAAACGAGAAGGGGCAACTCAGATGCCTAAGAAGCTTAGGCCCAAATCTCGGAGACAACGCCGGGCTATTGCCCCCCTTACCCAGGTCCGCCGGGCGGCCTGTTACCACCCTTGCGAACAGTCCAAACGCTGTCAGGGCTGTCGCCGCCATTGTGGCCGCCGCCGCCGCCGCCTCCACCGCCACCAGGGTACTGTGCGCAGGGCTGCCAACCAGCTGAAAGCCGCTGACGCCTCGTCTCCTTTCTTCAGGGTCTACAAGAACAGCGAGGAGCTTCGGTCTCGCATTGTGTCTGGGATTATTACACCTATTCATGAGCAGTGGGAAAAGGCCAATCTAAGTCCCCACCGGGAGTTTCCCCCTGCCACTGCCAGAGAGGTGGACCCACTCCGGATTCACCCACAACACCCACATACCAGCCGACAGCCTACCTGGTGAGTACAGAGCCCGCAGAGGGCAGCCCCAGCTTCTCTAGACGGATTCTGTCCGTGACCGTCCTGCTTGACCCCTCTTTGGACCCCCCACATCTCTTCAACAGAATTGTTGAGAGTCTTGGTATTCAGAGACAGGAAGTGGAGATCTGAGTGGAGCAGTGAGTTCTTGTACTGCTGCTAGTCACACTAAGGTTGCCTGCATCTTTTTTAGAGGCTACACAGAGCCTCTGACTTGCCCAAGGGTCAGTGCCTCTGAGGCGTGCATGTAGTACTGCAGAGTTGCTGCCCAGCTGGTTCAGTTATTCATCCCAGAGCTGTTTGTACAGGACTATATGAGTCAGGCTTTTGGGGAAAATGCAAAGATGCAGAAATACTGGAGGTTCCTGGAGGGGATGTCGTCTCAGTGTTCCCTTTCTTTGCATTTCACTTCATTGTAGCCCCCAGTCTCTTTGACAACATGAAAACTTTTCCAAAACAGCATGAGGTCTGAGTGAGTCACATCTAAGATCTTTGCAGATTGGGATGGCATTATTTAGGACTGGAGACTTCTGCTCTGAGGGAAGACAAGGAGCAGGGACACCTTAGTCTCTAGCTGAGATGGCACTTTCCAGTTTGGAGTCCACAGTGCGGTAGTAATGGTGGGCTTGGCAGGGTTGGGAGGGAGGGCTCACTGTGCGGCCATAATAAGCACTCAATAAGTGTTAACTGCCATTGTTAATACTCTGTGTTGCAGTTGTATACCTTTGGTTATAATAAGTAATAATTGTAAGTCTCTTTGACAATTTTTGGAAATACTGGTTTCTGTGGGGAAAGTGGAAATTGATAAAAAGTCTTGAAAGGTTGGGAACAGCTTGTCTGATCTAAACCCCTTATTTAAGATGACTTGCCTAAGGTCACCAGCCAGTAATAGACAGAGCAGGAGCTACAGGTTCAAGTGTCCTCACTGTAGCCCAGTGGTCTGCTGTGATGTAACTAGAATATGTTGACAAGGTTTAAGGATAAGCCCTAGAGAGCAGTCAAATTAGGGAAGACTTTTAGATCTTATTAAGTGGATAGTAATTCTCAGCTCTTTCAGATTTACTTCCCATATCAAAATAAATATTCTCTGAAATCTCCTTTACTCCCTGAAAATGAAGTTCATAGATAATCTAACTTACCAAATGCACAATTGCAAAAGGGGTAGTGTAAAGTATAATATAAATGAGAAATAAATAGTAAATAATGATAAGATAACGTATATTTCATTGTGTAGATGCCTGAGCATAATTACACTAGAAAAGATAGATATATGTACTTGTATGTGGGGTTATCTTGAATTTGACAGCATTTACAAATCACATGTCTGACAAGAGACTTGTAACATAGATACATAGAGAACTTTCACATCTCAGTAATAAAAAGGCAACCCAATTTCAAAAATGTTAAAGGATTTGAATAGACATTTCCCCAAGGAAGGTGTACAGGTGGCCCATAAACATGTGAAAAAAATGGAAATCCAAACTACAATGATAAACTACTTGTTTGTGCACATCTTCATGTACAGCTTTTGTACAAGAATGTTCATAGCAGCATTACTTATAATAGCCTAAAAGTGGAAACAGCCTAAATGTCCATCAACTGATGAATGGATAAATGTGATATGTGCATACAGTGAGCATTTCAGCAATAAAGAATGAAGTACTAATACTGATACACATCACAGCATGTATGAACCTTGAAAACCTTCTGCTAAGTGAAAAAAGCCATTTATGTGAAATGTCAAGAATAGGCAGATCCACAGAAACAGAAAGTAGATTATTTGGTTGCCAGGAGGTGAGATGGAAGGATTAAAGAGCATGAATGGGGAATGACTGCTGATGAGTACAGGGTGTTTTTTTAGGGTGCAGAAAATATTTAAGAATTAGAGTAGTTGCACTTTCTGTAAACATCTAAAAACCACTGTATGAACTGGCTGAATTTTGTGATATATGAAATATCTCAGTAAAGCTGCAAAAAAATTTTAAAAGGTCCTAGCTTTGTCTCATTTGGAAACATGAATATATAACAATTGAAATAAGGCTCCTAGGATCAGACTATAAGAGAACTGATAGTAATCGCCCATGTTTGAGATTTTGTATTTTCCCTTCAACTGGAGAGTGGTTTGGTAATAACCTAAACAATATTTTGTGAGACCAACATTATACTAGCAAAAGGAATTTATTTAAAATTAGTTACTGAAGTCTTTCCCCCTAAGAAACAAGGCAAGGATATCCACTCTCACAAGTCTTACTCAGCATAGTCCTGAAAATTTTGCCACCACATTAAGACAAGAAAAAGAAAAGGCATACAGATAAGAAAGGAAGAAATAAAAGTTTATATTCATAGTTGACATAATGGTCTACGTGGAAAATCTCAAGGAATCTACCAGAAAAAGAATATTATGAGCCTGGTAAGGTTGTAGGATACCAGCTCAACATCCAAAAGTCAACTATGTTTCACTGTATTAGCAATAAACACATGGAAATAGACATTTAAGATACAATATAATAGCTTTTAGCTCAGCTGGTAAAGAATCCACCTACAGTGTGGGAGACCTGGGTTTGATCCCTGGGTTTAGAAGATTCCCTGGAGGAGGGCATGGCAACCCACTCCAGTACTCTTGCCTGGAGAATCCCCATGTACAGAGGAGCCTGGCAGGCTGCAGTCCATGGGGTCGCAGAGTCGGACACAACTGAACAACTTAAGCACAGCACAGGCCACCATTTAGAATTACTGAAAAAAATACTTAGGTGTAAATCTAACAAAACATTTCAGACTTTTATGCTGAAAACTGTAATCAAAGAAGACCTAAATAAATGGAGAAGCATCACATGTTCATGAATGGAAGACTCAACATAGTAAAAATGTCAAATACTCCACAAATTGATATACTCTGTGTGTTAGTGGCTCAGTCTTGTCCGACTCTGCCACCCCATGGATTGTAGCCCTCCAGTCTCTTCCGTCTATGGAATTTTCCAGGCAAGAATACTGGAGTGGGTTGCCATTTTCTATTCCAGAGGATCTTCTCAACCCAGGGATTGAACCTGCATCTCTTGTGTCTCCTGCATTTGCAGGCGGATTCTTTCCCCCTGCACCAAAGATGTCAAGTACTCCACAAATTGATACAGTAGTTTAATGCAATTCCTATCAAAATCCAACAAAAACTTCGGAAGATAGAGCAAGATTATTCCATAATTTATATGGAAAGGCAAAGGAGTTTGGAGTGGCTAAAAATAATTTTGAAAATAAATAAAGAACGAGAAATCACTATACCCAGTATTCAGGCTTATTATATAGCTACACTAAATGGACAGACTCATAGGTCAATAGAACAGTGTTGTTCAGTCACTGAGTTCTGTCTGAGTCTTTGCGACCCCATGGACTGCACCATGCCAGGCTTCTCTGTTCTCCACTATCTCTCCTGGGGTTTGCTCAAATTCATGTCCATTGAGTCGGTGATGCTATCTAACCATTGCATCCTCTGCCATCACCACCTCTTTTTTTGCCTTCAGTCTTTCCGAGTATCAAGGTCTTTTCCAGTGAGTTGACTCTTCATATCAGGTGGTCAAAGTACTGGAGCTTCAGCAACAGTCCTTCCGGTGAATAATCAGGGTTGATCTCCTTTAGGATTAACTGTTTTGGTGACTTTGCAATCAAGGGACCCTCAAGAGTCTTCTCCAACACTACAGTTTAAAAATATCAGTTCTTTGGTATTCAGCTTTCTTTATGGTCCAGCTCTCAGGTCCATACACGAATACTGGATAAATCATAGCTTTGACTGTAAAGACCTTTGTGAGCAGTGATGTCTCTGCTTTTTAAGTCTTTGGGCTGCAGAAGGCATTTGGAAATATATAGGCATTGCTGTATGCCTAGAAGATGGGGATAGAGGCTGGAAATAGCGCAAGCCAAGCACAGGCCTGCTGAAGACAGAGCCAGCCCTGCCCCATCCTGCCCATAATGTTCTTTTTGGTTGGCTAAAACTCCTGGCCCCCTAGCCCTGGCATTCTCATCCTTGAGAATACTACCATGCAGTTCAGTCGCTCAGTCATGTCCGACTTTTTGCGACCCCATGGACTGAAGCACACCAGGCCTCCCAGTCCATCATGAACTCCCAGAGTTTACCCAAACTCTTCTCCGTTGAGTCCGTGATGCCATCCAACCATTTCATGCTCTGTCATCCCTTCTCCTGCCTTCAGTCTTTCCCAGCATCAGGGTCTCTTCCAGTGGGTCAACTCTTCGCATCAGGTGGCCAAAGTATTGGAATTTCAGCTTCAGCATCAGTCCTTCCAGTGAACATTCAGGACTGATCTCCTTTAGGATGGACTGGTTGGATCTCCTTGCAGTCCAAGGGACTCTCAAGAGTCTTCTCCAACAGCACAGTTCAAAAGAATCAATTCTTCTGTGCTCAGCTTTCTTTATAGTCCAACTCTCACATCCATCCATGACTACTGGAAAAACATAGCTTTGACTAGATGGACCTTTCTTGGCAAAGTAATGTCTCTGCTTTTTAATAAACAGTCTAGGTTGGTCATCACTTTCTTCCAAGGAGCAAGCGTCTTTTAATTTCATGGCTGAGGTCACCATCTGCAGTGATTTTGGAGCCCAAAAAACTAAAGTCTGTCCTTGTTTTCAGTTTCCCCATCTATTTGCCATGAAGTGATAGGACCAGATGCCATGATCTTAGTTTTCTGAATGTTCAGGTATAAGCCAACTTTTTCACTCTCCTCTTTCACTTTCATCAGGAGGCTCTTCAGGTTCTTCACTTTCTGCCTTAAGGGTGGTGTCATCTGCATATCCGAGGTTATTGATATTTCTCCCGGCAATCTTGATTCCAGCTTGTGCTTTATCCAGCCCAGTGTTTCTCGTGATGTACTCTGCATATAAGTTAAATAAGCAGGGTGATAATATACAGCCTTGACGTACTCCTTTCCCAATTTGGAACCAGTCTTGTTCCATGTCCAGTTCTAACTGTTGCTTCTTGA